GGGGGGGTCCTCTGGTTATTTCCACTTGACGCCTTCTTCAGCCCATGGACACTGGATTCTTAGGCTGGCACCTCCCTGATCATTCAGTTATTATCCACACCAAGCATCCATCCACATACATCTTCTATCTCTATTTTAATCACAATTGTTAATACAACAAAAGGGTGGGGAGTCTCTGGGTGTTGTTTCTGTTGTTAGAGTATTGCTTTGAGTCTCTCTCTCTCTGTGAATTGCTTTGAGAACAGACTCTGTCTTAGAATGTACTAACACAATTAGCAGCTTGCAAGTTTCACACATAGAGGGAGAGAAACAGTACCAAAAACCAAGAGACCTCTTAATTAGTAATACCCTGGAATTTAAACTCTGGGGAATCAAACTCATTTGTGATTTTAATACAGAACTTCTTTAATATGATCCAACATAATCCCCCTTTTGACACTAAGATTTATAATCGTCAGTGTCACTTTCTATGTAGCCTATTCAAGAGAAAGTACTGTGAGGCTATTTGAGTTTGTGATTCCAATTCATGCCACATACATGATCCTAGTGATGTATCTTTACTACAAGGTTCTGGGGCAACAGGCAAGGTGAGGCACACCCACTTTTGAGGAGTCCATTCGGTACAACCTCTAGTGTCCAATAGCTTCCCTCCCTCCCCAGCCCACTGGCTTGAGGTCCAGGGTAGCCAGAAGTATCCCATGTGTAATATGGGGAGTGGGTTAACCTTCAATACCTTTGCCTCCAGGGACTGTTGGTGTGCAATTTTGACAACAATTTCTCCCATTAACAAGTCTGGTTTACAGTACTGGAAACATATTGCATCCATTCATATTGATAAGTGTCAAACAATGATCTTTCTTTTTTTAACAAATGCATCAAACCCTTAATATTTCCCAATATGACCCAGAACATTTTGTGTTCCAAAGTAGCTAGTGCAAGTATCTGCATTTCAGTGCATCCCATAGCTATGGCTGTGTAGTTTCCTATTTCTAATATTTTTTTTTTCTTATGGATAAGCCATGTGGTAGTATTAAGCCATTACTAAAGATTCCATCGGCCTTTTAGGTTACCCAGACCAATTTGGACCAAGTCTACATTGGCATGTACTTGTTTTTGTATCAGGCTGTCCTGTAGCTGGGACAGAAAGCTTAATTTATTTTTAAGTTCCTGCAGGTCTTCAGTATTTTTTTTTTTTAAACACACAACAGTGCTAGCAACAAGACAAAACACAAGACAAAACATAGAACACAGAACACAATTTCTATTGTGACAGTAGATTCATGGTATTGGGTTGCTTTTCAGCTGGCATCAGCTTTTCCTGATTTTCTGAAAGACAAAAAGAACATGTTTCTACCCCTTTTGGGGTGGCAGATTATTGCTTAAAATATTTCTTTTACAAATACCCTGGCTGATTGCAGGCAAAACAGAGAAATTGCCCCCATATTTTCCTGTTTTTGTTCTATAGGCAGGCCAGGTTTCAATGGCTTTTATCTTTTAAGGGTTATGGGGAAATTATCCCACTGTTTAGTCATTAAATCCCTGAGTTTTCCTTCTTATACAGCAGACCAAGTTTATAATGTTTTTCCTGCTGTGTTAAGCTTTAAGTTCTATTTACAGGTAGTAACTGAGAAGCATCATTACCATACGACCTTAAAGGATTTTTCCAAAAATCATACACACTATACGTTGTTACAGGGATACTTATTATCATTAAATTTATTAAAATTATCTTGTTATCCCATGCCTTTTATTTAGACAATTTGTTTGCTGACCAGGTATGTCCTTTATCTGCAGCTCCTTTGTGCTGCTAGTTCTTTCCTTCATCATTTAGGTAATTTGCATTTTCACAGAAACTTCCTGCTTTTGGATTTAAAGCCATCAGCAGCTCAGAGAGTCTATCTTAAAAGGACACAATCAACTTTCACCAGAGTTTTGATTACTTTTAACTTCTGCTTCCAAAACACACAGCAATCTGAAAAAGAAAACCCAACCTATTGTGGCTCCCTTTGGAGCCCTAATAGCATTTTAATGAAGTAGCATGGTATGTTTGCATTTCTTTTGCCCCTTCTACAATATACCCTGCACATGTTCTGGGGAAAATGCACATTCCTTCCATAGTTTAACTTCTATAACATTATCCAGATCCATTTTTACATAAGGTGTCACTATTTCTTTTTTTTTGCTTACAGAGTTTTCATGTACCTTTATCAAAGTGACAGTCTGATTACTCAGAGCCATTTTAAGACTCAGTGTTTCTAACATTGCTTCTTTTTGTTTTGTGCACCTCACCCCTGCTGTTGCTTCAGAGAGGCACTGTCTTTTTTTAATTTTTTTTTTTACTACAACTCTCATCTGCTATTTTGTTACAAAAACAAACAAACAAAAAACAAACAGACAAAAAGAATCCAATTTTTTTTTTATATTCTCCTGATTTTGACTGCCCTGCTGCAGCCACAACTTAAAAACATTTTAAATTTTGTAAAGCATTGAGTTACCTTTTAAGGGTTAAATGCCAAATCCCAAAGCCAAACAACACTAATTACCTGTGTCTAGCAAAAGGTCTGTCAGTTTTGCAACTTTGAATTAAAGAGTCAAATGGATTTTTAGTGGCATTATTTAAAACAAAAACAAAACTAACTGGTCCTTAGAACTTTACATGTTTACACACACACAGACAGATACATACACGTTTAACTGCTTAATTCCCTCCAGCCTCTGCAGAGTTAACTTTTTTTTTTTTTTTACTCTCTTTTCTCTTTGTAATTATGCCTGGGGGTGCCGTACATAGGACCTTCTCCCCCTTTACCTGCCTCCCTCCAGCCTCTGCAGAGTTAACTTTTTCACTCTTTTTGTATTCCTGGAGTGCCTCTTTCACTATTTTCAGCTGGCTTTGGGTATTTGTAGCCAGCACCTTCCAATTGTCTGCTCCCTTTTCCGTTTGTGCCTTTTCCTCTTTACATGAAGACAAGCGGAGGGAAGAATCCTTACATGCCTCCCACAACAACCAAATTGCTGCTGCATCTCTTTTGGCAGCACTAGAAGGTTTGTATATGAGGATATACTGAGCCAATCTATCCTCTAGGTCCGAAATAGTGCAGACATCAGCTAGGGCTTGTTTAGTCCAAGGACTGTGCCCACATTTTTGAAGGATTTGTTGAAAAGGTGTAATTTCTTTAACAAAAGGTGAGGTTGGAGTTCCTTCTGACTCCATTCCTCCCTCTGGTACTGGCTTACCCTGTTTTCTTTTAAACATCTTAACATGGATATTTCAATCTCTTTGTCACTGCTGGTATTACTTAGCAAGTGACACAGCCTAGATTCTGAAATCATAGCTTAATCTATGCGTTTTTCCCCTGCTACCTTCCCGGAGGCCAGCAGGTCCCCTGCTACCTTCCCAGAGGCCAGCAGGTCCAGTTAACCTATTTCTCCCTGCTACCTTCTCGGAGGCCAGCAGGTCCGGTTAACCTGTTCTTCCCTGCTACCTTCTCGGAGGCCAGCAGGTCCCCTGCTACCTTCTCGGAGGCCAGCAGGTCTAGTTTAATCTGTTTTCCCTGCTACCTTCTCGGAGGCCAGCAGGTCCCCTGCTACCTTCTCGGAGGCCAGCAGGTCTGGTTTAATCTGTTTTTTTCCTGCTACCTTCTCGGAGGCCAGCAGGTCCCCTGCTACCTTCTCGGAGGCCAGCAGGTCTGGTTTAATCTGTTTTTCCTGCTACCTTCTCGGAGGCCAGCAGGTCCCCTGCTACCTTCTCGGAGGCCAGCAGGTCTGGTTTAATCTGTTTTTCCTGCTACCTTCTCGGAGGCCAGCAGGTCTGGTTTAACCTAATAGAAATGCCTAGCTCACTAGAGCTGGCGGTGTGCACACCAATATTTACAATAACTGAGGTTTTTTACCAATATTCCCCCTTTCGCAATTCTCCACCAAAATGTGGTAGTATTAAAATAAAAACCAGCAGGATCTTATTAAAGGGAAAAAGGCAAAATACCACATTTATTGTGAATACAGAAAGAATCATAGAAAGCAGTTAGTTCTAGTTATAACATTCCATTCAATCTCATATTTATTCACACATTCATTCATTCATACACACACACACACACACACACACACACAGGTTCTGCAAGGTTGTTATCATAGTTACCAGCCTTAGAGTTGCTCATGCCAAGCCACTGGCCAGGTGGCCTGGACATGAGGAGGGAGCAGGGCCTTGTCAGATGCTCATCTGATGCTCCTGGAAGTTGGTTTGCAGAATCAGACCCCCCAAAGTTCTCACTTTTTAGAGTCTATTTTTATAGGAATTTCTTCCTATGCCAGTCTATGGGAATTGCTTCATCATGCTGTTGCTGAATCAATCAGCAGATAGGACATTCCTGACGGCTCCAAGATGTTATCTTGTTCTTTGGTTCTCCCATTCTTGAGGCTGTTGGGTGGATTCCAGTCTGCCCTCCGGGGGGTCCTCTGGTTATTTCCACTTGACGCCTTCTTCAGCCCATGGACACTGGATTCTTAGGCTGGCACCTCCCTGATCATTCAGTTATTATCCACACCAAGCATCCATCCACATACATCTTCTATCTCTATTTTAATCACAATTGTTAATACAACAAAAGGGTGGGGAGTCTCTGGGTGTTGTTTCTGTTGTTAGAGTATTGCTTTGAGTCTCTCTCTCTGTGAATTGCTTTGAGAACAGACTCTGTCTTAGAATGTACTAACACAATTAGCAGCTTGCAAGTTTCACACATAGAGGGAGAGAAACAGTACCAAAAACCAAGAGACCTCTTAATTAGTAATACCCTGGAATTTAAACTCTGGGGAATCAAACTCATTTGTGATTTTAATACAGAACTTCTTTAATATGATCCAACATTCTCCCCTCCCCGCTTAATTCTGTTGTCTCTCATTTAGCTGCAAGTTGTATTTATATTTAATAATCTTCCTTAAAATGATACAATGGCTACCACCTGGTGCCACAGGCCCAAAACAAATCCACACATAGTCACATGACGAAACCAAAATAATTTATTTCCATGAAAATATAACATTGACTATCATTCAAGGAAGAGACATTAACAGGAGTTGAATTGTGTCAGTACTTAGGCCACCAGTATTAACTCTGAACAGACAGCTGTGCTTTGTGAGCTTCTAAGTGTTAAGAATTCTGCTATCACATTACTCAAATGGGAAAGTGTGAGAGCTTTCAAGACTGGATCCACTTGGTACTGCTCATTTTTAGAGAATTCAGTGCAAAATATCCTGTTGTTGGTCTCTTAAATTGCTGAACTTGCTGCTTCTGCTCTTGTTGGTTTTTATTATCCCTTATTTGCCTCTGGTTCTCAGTCTGGGACAGTCCATTTCTACCTCCTGCCCTCTTTGTACATTGTGGTACTTCCATTATTCTTATCAGGTTGTCAGGATCCTTTCCCTTCTTTAAATCTTGGCCTACATTTTCAAAAGTGACTTTGAGCTTTGTGTGTGTCCATTTCTGGGTGCCCAACTTGAGATATCACTGCTGGAAAGAGCTGAGCCCCTGTCTTCTGAAAAGTCAGGCACCTTTTAAAGAGTCTCAAATTGGGCAGCCAAAAGTGAAGGCCCCCTCCAAATTACTAGTCGCTTTTGGAAAAACTAATTCTTCTGCCCCATCTGTCTGTCTTCCTACTCTCTCTGTAGTTTCCACAGCCGATTGCTGTGCCAGCTTTGCTGTCAGGAAACTCCTTCCATTAGCAAAGTTGAACAGGAATTCAGTCCAAGTTTCTGCCCTGAAAATAGTCTATTTGAATGCCTTTGTGATGGCACAGTCTGAAACTCCTTCTATTAGTACTATGTGCCCAGAATATACAATCTTCCACAACAAAGAAAGAGGTGCCCACAACTGTAGTTTTTATTTTGTGGTTTTTTTGCTTTGTTTTCCTTTGACTTTTCCAGAAAAATAGGGGGTTCCTCAGAGTGGGGAACATTAGGGTGAAAACTACACGTACCATCCATCATGTTTGGGAGACTTAAAATACTTTTGAAAGTTCTAGGTGCGGGATTGGGTTTTTTGTTTGTTTGTTTGGTCTGTTTGCTGCGTACCAAGCAATGTCCTGGCTGGTCTATTGAGACTTTCAGTTGTCTTCAGGGAGCTTTGCATCAGGCCTTGCGTGTGTGGCTGGAATGTCAGTCCTGCTTACATATCTAGTGGCTGGCGTGGGGGGTGTGAATCTTAATACAGTATAACTAACAGGTATTTTCTGTGCTAAGTATATACAGTCTAGGAAACTAAAACTCAGACTATTAGCATGTTTCACAGTATAAGATGGAATGACTGAGTTATTCTCAAAAGCTCGGAGTTATAAGTATGAAAATGTCTAACTCCCAGTTGTCTTCCCCCAATTCCCAGAATGCTTTGGAAGGGACCAAGCAGATCTGGAAACATTCCTTCTGCTTCCCACTTGCTGCCCATTTAGGGAGTCAAAAATACCAAATGCTATTCCCTGTGCCAAATGCATGTAGGGTATTTTTTGTCAGTGACTCTGGTTTCTGTATGCATGAAGTCAAACTGTGCACCTGGATTTATCTTTAAGATCTTGTTGATGGTGGTTGCTTCCTTCAAAAAAGGATAACTCTTCCTCATTAATATGCTCTGGATTTTATGTTGCTGCATGAAATTTTAGGGATACATGATATTTATTTAAATATATATTATTGCCAGGCTCAAGTCAGCACTGACACTGTCCAGCCACACATGCCAAAAGTGCATATACAGCAAAGCCAACAGAACCATTTCCTCAGCCTCCTTTTTGGTCTCTCCAGTATTGTATGATCTGCACTCAAACCTTCCACTCAAGACATCACAAACTACCCGTACTGAAGTCCCGAAAGAGAAGTCTTTCTGGGGAGGTTATTCTTCCAGAGCCATTGCAGTTGGAGTTTTATTTCCATTCTGAGTTGTTAATTTAAAAGTACCAACTTGGCTTCACCTGTGTCTCACTCTGGTTCAGCGCTCTCTCTCGAAGACTCAGTTCCAAGCATTCTACAGTGAGTGGGTATGTTTTGAGTTCAAACTTGTTAGCAAACATGCTTGAAGACTTAAGTAGCCACTTTAGGTCACCTGTTCCATATATACAAATGCCTCTGACATAATGGCCTGCAAAGGGAAAAGATGACAAGAGCAACATCAAGTACATAGGGTGTTCTGTGGAAAAGAGACGAGTCAAAATCATCTTTATGATAGATCTAGAATTTGGCCAAAAGTGAATAGGGGAAATACAATGGGGAACAACTATGAGTGGTGCCATGAAGTTAAGAAATAGCTAATATAGGGTGACCATCAAGCAAAACTTCTAAACAATGTGATCTATAAAGAGGGGTGAAAGTAAGCCAGTACCAGCCAGTATGGTGTACCGGTAAAAAGTGGCCACCAGGACCGGCCCATACTCAGCTGATGTTAAAGTGCTGCTGCAGCAAAGGACCCTGCTTAGTGCCGCCACGACAGTGCTTTAATGTCGCTGCCCCTTTTGCCCCTCCCCCCCATGGGCTGCCGACAAGGGGGGCAAAAAGAACAGCTGCCCTGGGGCCACGATTTAAAAGGTCCCGGGGCTCTGGCTACTGCGGCCTGGACCCTTTAAATCACTGCTTGAGCCCTGGGCGGCGCGGGCCAGGCAGCATGGATGGGCTGGCTGGGGGATGCTGACACCCTGCCCTGCCCCTTCTAGGGGCTGGAGCTGGCCCCTGTACCGGTAAGTGCTTAATGTTACTTTCACCCCGTCTATAAGAAGGAAAACATCATCACTTGAGACATTTAAAACTAGCCCAAACAAATCACTACAGATACATAGGAAAGAGCAATTTCACTCAGAAGGGCCAGATGATTCAGTAAGGTTCCCTCCCCACACCCCATCTCTAACTTTCTATGATTCTAGGACTCAGGTTTTCCACTGAGTTACTCCAGTTTTAAACTGGTGTAATTCCATTGATGTAAGTGGAGTTACACTGGCACAAAACTAATCTTCCTTAGCTCAGCTATGTAAGAGCCTGGAAGCTCAGCTCAGAAGCAGCATTTGTTGTAAGAAGGATTTCATTTTAGTCTTTTTTGTTTTTGTTGTGCATGGCACTGATTCATATGGAAGGCAAGTGAATCACTCAGCTACGTAGTAAGTCTATAGACACATCTATGCAGTTGCTGGAAGGGATGATTTGATCAAGCTAGGGTACTAAAAACAGAAGTGTAGCCGTAGCAGTGCAAGGGGCTAGCTGCCCAAATGTGTACGGTATGGTCGCAATGGGACTGTATTCGAGGCAGGTAGCCTGTCCTGCTGCTCATACTGCCATACCTTCACTTCTATTTTCATCATATTAACTTGATCGGTCTTACTGTGGGTACATCTATTCAAGCTAGAAGTTAAACCTTCCATAGTAGATACTCCTTGTGACTCAGCCATGGATAGAATCCTAGGACTCTGCAGTCTCCTTGCTCTACCATAAATCATGATCCCTGTCTCACCTAGTCTGAAGTGCAAATGCAGGATTGCAGCAAATGTATATGTATGTTGGGATTCTACAGTAATAACTAGCATTTTGCACTTCTATAGCACTTTCCAACTTCAGATTGCTTACAAATACTTGAGTTTAGTGAGTCTCATTATGCCTATGAATTAGTTAATGATGATCCCTATTTTACAAGGGAGAAAATCTCCATGCTTTAGGCTAAGTGACTTGCCCAAATTCACACAGGAAGTCTGTGGCAGAGTCAGGGGTTGGGGCCCAGGTCTTATGAATCCTAGTCTAGTGGTTTAACTATCCATCCCTTTTTAGTGCTTGATTGTGCTTAGGCACTGGTGTATGTTGAGGTGGTTTGGAGCCACCCTAGTAACCACTCAGATATAGTCCCTCCTAGAGTTACCAGATGTATGGGGAAATGCAGTCCCTGCTACACCCCATAAGGGCCTCTGCTGGAGGGGGACGACATGGCCTTGCTTCCTCCTCACCCATTTTGAAGTGGCTACTACTGTTAACCAAGAACTCAGACTCCAGCACAGACTGCAGTGCTGGCCACAACTGCACAACAGCTAAGAAGGGGGAGGCTCCTTGAACATCTCACCTACCCGTGAAACTGTGTATGGATTGGCTACAAATTAGAAATTGGGATTATTTTAACTGGAGGAAAAAAAGATAGGGCTAAATTCCTGAGAAGAATTTTGTAACTGAGCAGCTATCAACAAAGCTGGCTGGGAATTTTCTGATGACACTTGTTTTGTCAAACTGTTAATCTGTCAAAACCCAAAACTTTCCACCATAGGAACATGTCAATTTCCCAATGAAGGTTTCAGAGTAGCAGCTGTGTTAGTCTGTATTTTCAAAAAGAAAAGGAGGACTTGTGGCACCTTAGAGACTAACCAATTTATCTGAGCATAAGCTTTCGTGAGCTACAGCTCACTTCACTGGATGCATGCAGTGGAAAATACAGTGGGGAGACCCATCATAGGGCCTAATCACATCAGCCACACTGTCAGAGGCTCATTCACCTGCACATCTACCAATGTGATATGTGCCAGCAATGCCCCTCTGCCATGTACGCTGGCCAAACCGGACAGTCTCTACGTAAAAATAAATGGACACATCAGACGTCAAGGATTAGAACATTCAAAAACCAGTCGAAGAACGCTTCAATCAGTCTGGTCACTCGATTACAGACCTAAAAGTGGCAATATTACAACAAAAAATCTTCAAAAACAGACTCCAATGAGAGACTGCTGAACTGGAATTAATTTGCAAACTGGACACCGTTAAATTAGGCTTGAATAAAGACTGGGAGTGGATGGGTCATTACACAAAGTAAAACTATTTCCCCATGTTTATTTCCCACCCCCACTGTTCCTCAGATGTTCTTGTCAACTGCTGGAAATGGCCCACCTTGATTATCACTACAACATGGTTTTTTTTTTTCTCTCCTGCTGGTAATAGCTCACCTTCCCTGATCACTCTCGTTACAGTGTGTATGGTAACACCCATTGTTTCGTGTTCTCTGTGTATATAAATCTCCCCACTGTATTTTCCACGGCATGCATCCGATGAAGTGAGCTGTAGCTCATGAAAGCTTACTCTCAAATAAATTTGTTAGCCTCTAAAGTGCCACAAGTACGCCTGTTCTTTTCATTGGGAAATGTTTCTTGGGTACAGGAGGGAATTTCTGGTGACGGAGGGAGGGAGAGAAACCCCGCCCCTTCCCCCAAACTGCAGAACAGCTCAGTGGTTTTGGAACTCCCATGAGCTGTGGGAGACCCAGGTCAAGTCCCTGCTCCATTGAATCTTTATTTATAAGCTCCAATAGGAAAAACCGTGAGACCCACTGGCTATTCTGCAATGTCCTGCTGGTCAGTGCACCCACCTGGGGTGTGGGAGAATGGCAGAGCAGCATCTGAACTGAGGTTTCCCACATCCCAGGTGAGTGCTATAATCACTGGGCTATTCTGGGGTGCTGGTCTCTCTTGCTGCTGTTTTGGTTTAACTTCAAAAAGTGTCAGCTTCATGCTGAGGAGGAACAATGAAGCTTCTGACATCTCAAATGTTTGCGGGACAGAAAAACCATTTCCCACCCAGTTCCAGTTCTCAGATTTCAATGCAAGAATAGGAAAAGTAAAGAATATACACATTACCATGACAACCTCCATGAGAGCTTTCATTATCACTCCACTTGATAGCTCTCAGGTTACCTTCCCAGGATGCATTTGGCATGGAACCAGGGACATCTAGAAATTGATAAGATGGGGGGGGGAGGGAGTTTAGTTTAGGGTTTTTTTGTTTGTTTGTTTGTTTTTTGTCACTGCACAGCATCACTCTCCTCTGGGAGCTCTTCGTGACTTGTATATCTTCTCAGCACTGAACAGAATTAGGTTGAGATCCATGGGTACTTCAGCGATTTCACTTCATACTCCTGAAACAAAACTCTTTAAAAACAAACCTACCTTCCCAGATCTCCTGGTTACAAGCCCTTTCAACAAGGCACAATCATGTATTTGTGTACAACCCTCCACCCTTGAATGGTCACACCAAAAGAAATGGAATCCTTCCAAGGTGTTGTAGGGCAGCTCACTACATGAGTCATGAAGGGGTTAAATAGCTTGTCTGGGCATAATCCCCACCAACCCGGCAAGCTGGCAAAGGGAGGCTTCCAGGTCAGTTTGAGGTGGCACTCTGAATGAGTACACCTGGAACTCAGAGCCTAACAAGAACAGGATGGTGACTCGGGAAACTGCTTGAGAGCCCTGATCACCCAGGCCCTCCCAGCAAGGAGAGGGTTTGGTTCTCTCTCTTTTTATTTATTATTTATTTAAACCTTTTTGCTTTCTAAAAGCTGTGGACTCTGCCTCTTGGGCATTGTGGGAATATCCTGACTTGTTTGTCCTTTTTTCACCTCCCGCCCCTGTAAGGGCGGGAGACCCCAAATCAGTGAGCTGTGCTCCAAACTCTGGGCCAATTCCACCGTAATGCTGTAATACAGGGAGATCCCCCCCGCCCCCTGTCAGCCCTGCCCAAGACAAGAACAGTGCCCATCTTCTCCCCAAGAGGGTGCAAGAAAGGTATAACCCACAAGACATAGCAATAACAGATAATAGTGCTTGCATAACACTTTATATCTTCAAAATGTAGTTCAGATGGTACCTAATTAATCCTCACTACCTCCCTGTGAGATGGGGATAAAGCTGTTTATCCCCATTTTGCAGATTGGGTACTGGGGGGTAGTGGATCAACTCAGACTGAGTACAAATGGGTGAACTACCATTAAGGCAATTGAAGAGCATTTGCTTATATGGCACCTGAATTTGGCCCAGAGAGGATAAGCGATGTGTTCATGTTACATGTCCAAGCAAGAGTCTTAATTCTTCTTGACTGACTGTTAACAATGAAGACCCATTATTAAGGCTACGTTTTAGTCATGGGTATTTTTAGTAAAAGTCATGGGCAGGTCACAGGCAGTAAACAAATAATTCACAGCCTGTGACCTGTCCATGACTTTTACTATATACCTTTACCCAAAACTTGGGCTGGGGGGCTGCAGATGCTCTGGGGGGTGGCCCAAGACCCCCACTGGTGCTGGGAGGAAAGGGGGTGGGTGGCAGCACATGGCCCAAGACCTCCGCTGGCACTGGGGTGGTGGCATGGGCCCCTGCTGGGGTGGGGATGGATTGGTGGGGCTCACAAGCTCCCTACCTGTTTCCACATGTCCCTGCAGCTCCTAGGGGAAGAGGCAGCCAAGAGAGCTCTGCATGCTGCTCCGGCCACAAGCACCAGCTCTGCAGCTCCCATTGGCCAGGAACTGCAGCCCAGGCAAACTTTTTGGCCTGAGGGCCACGTCGGGGTTCCAAAACTTATGGAGGGCCAGGTAAGGAAGGCTGTGCCTCCCCTAACCCTATCAACCCCCAACCCATTCAACCCCCCCACTCCTTGTCCCCTGACCGCCCCCTCCTGGGGTCCCCTGTCCCAATGCCGCCTGCTTCCTGACTGCCCCGACCTCTATCCACACCCCCGCCCACTGACAGGCCCCCCAGGACCCCACTCCCTATCCAATCCCCCCTCTAAAGCCCCTTTCAGAATGTGGCCCTGCAAATATGGGAGGAGGACACGGGAGGAGCAGGGGCAGCCAGAGAGAAGCGGTGGTTTCCCCTTCAAAGCACCACTTCTCTCCAGCCAGCTGCACAGCCACCCGGTGCTCCTCCTGAGTCCTCTGCCCACGTTCACTGCACTCCCACACCTCCCACCTGCTCCCCTGAGGCTGCAGGTGAGCCTCCCTTCCTGCTCTTCCCTGCCCCCACAGTGCAGCCCCCTCCTGCGCTGGCAGCATGGCGCGCTGTGGGGTAGGGGGACAGTGTGGAAAAGGCCAGGGGCTCGCCTCCTCGGCCGGGTGCTCAAGGGCCAGGCAGGATGGTCCCATGGGCCGGATGTGGCCAGCAGGCCATAGTTTGCCCAACTCTGCCCTAGCCTCTCCACCTAGGAACTGCAGGGACATGTTGGGTAGCTCCCTCCCATACACCCAAACTGCTTCTTCTGGCCCAGCACCAGTCACTACAGAAGTCATGGAAGTCACAGAATCCGTGACCTCTGTGACAGACATGCAGCCTTACCCATTATATTCAGATACATATTAATATAGGCACTGCTCTGCAGTTTACCAAATACTTTATATCCAACACTTCTTCCTGATGTCCTACTCATTTGAAAGAAATGAAAAGAATGAATGAAAAGTGCTGCTGGCACATATGTGATAAAAGTAATAAACACAACAGTGACCACTACAGAGAGTGGATACTAACCACTGCCATGTGAGGGGGTATTTTCCTCTGAACCTGAGACCTAGGTCATGTGACTGAGGCCAGGAAATCATAGTTGAATTTCTTATCTGCATTCCCGTGCATCAGACTCTTACTCCAATTAGATGATCCATTTGATATTGAATAGGTTGTTTCAACAAGATATTAAAAAGCATCCCTTAAAATAGTCCTGTTCTCAGAACGTGACTGAAATAGCAAAGAATCAATGGCATAAACACAAGGTTCATGCATGACCCTGGACAAACTCCAGATTTTGTCTCTTCAAAAATATATGAGGCCTGATTTGTTGTCTGGCACCCAAACAGATTTGTCTACTTCCTTTATTCTGCAATAGTCTGTTTACCACCTGATGTACAATCTTCTTCAGCTAGGAAAATAAATTGCACTGTCATGGTGCAATTAATCCTGATCTGTTGACTCAATTACAATTAGCAATCCCAGCTCTGAAGGGTTCAGGGCAAACTACACAGAAAAGTGAGAGAACTGAGTGAGGAGCAAGGAGAGTTCCCTCCCTCTCTCTGTGAAGGCAGGCTTGAGAGAACCACAGATAGCAGGGCAGGTTCCTGTGGGAGGCCCTGAGTTAGGGCTTGTAAGAAGTAGGGAGGTCCCCAAAGAAGCTCCCAGAGTCCCTGGAGAGGGGAAGCAGTGGGGAAACCTGCTAGGAAAAATTGCCTCTAAGAAAGGCCCGGGAGGCAGTGCTGTCGCTGGGAAATGTAGTTGGACTTTGGTTACCTTGAAAGGGAACAGAACTGGAATGAGGTGATGTGGCTGGAGGGCTGGGCCATGGAAGGCGTAGCCAGAGATATGCCATCACAGGGCCAAAGAATTTGTCAATGGGATACAAGAGATAAAAAACCATGCTCTGACAGCAGGGAGCAATAGAAAAGTGAGTGGAAACCTTTCGCAGGCACCAAGTGCTGTGCTGAACGCTCTAGGATTCTTTCCTCATCAATTCATGGAGAACTTTTCTGTTCTTTGGGGGAGGAGGCATTGGAGGACCATCAGCACTTGAGCAACTGGGTGCATTCCAGGCATAGTTAAAGTAGAACCTAGCCTCTAACCCACACCCCCGTCTGGGTCAGGCTTAAAGCACCTCCAAAACTGGGTTGGACGTTTCTGTGTGTGGATGGTAGAGGAGTTAAAGTTGATGCCTGGGTTACCTCTGCTGCATAGACTTATACTTAAGCAGCATCTTTCATCCAAGGATGTCTAAGTGCTCTGCAATTGAGTTTTGTGGCAGGTTTACATACATTCTATAAGTGTGATCTTAAGCATGTCAGTTATACAAAGTGACTCAATGGCAGAACCAGGATTACAAATAGTTGTGCCCCAATTCAATCCCCTGCTCTAACCATTAGACAACACTCTTTACTATTTGCAGAGTACCAACATGTCTGCTGAGAGGCACATGAATAGACAAACTGATCTCACCTCAGAGTGAAGGTGAAAGCAAGGATAAAAAGTAAGGCTGTCAATTAATCACAGTTAACTCAGACGATTAACTAAAAAAAATTAACTGCGGTTAAAAAAAAAAATCATGATTAATCGCAGTTTTAATTGCACTGTTAAACAATAGAATACCAATTGAAATTTATTAAATATTTTGGATGCTTTTCTACATTTTCATATACATTGTGTTCTGTGTTGTAATAAAAATACTCTGATTTTAATTACAATATTTTCACTAAAAATGATAAACAAAAGTAGTATTTTTCAATTCACCTCATGCAAGTACTGTAGTGCAATCTTTGTCATGAAAGTGCAACTTAAAAATGTAGATTTTTTTTACATAACTATAGTCAAAAATAGAATAATATCAAACTTCAGAGCCTACAAGTCCACTCAGTCCTACTTCTTGTTCAGCCAATTGCTAAGAGAAACAAGTGTGTTTACATTTACAGGAGATAGTGCTGCCCTCTTCTTATTTACAAGTCACCAGAAAGCGAGAACAGGCATTTGCATCGCAATTTTGTAGCAGGCATTGCAAGGTATTTATGTGCCAGATACGCTAAAAATTCATATGCCCCTTCATGCTTCGGCCACCATTCCAGAGGACACGTTTCCATGCTGATGATGCTTGTTTTAAAACAAGCAACACGTTAATTAAATTTTGTGACACAATTCTCCCCCAAGGAGTTCAATGTCCCCTGCTCTGTTTTACCCACATTCTGCCATATATTTCATGTTCTAGCCGTCTCGGATGATGACCCAACACATGTTCATTTTAAGAACACTTTCACTGTAGATTTCACAAAACGCAAAGAAGGTACCAATGTGAGATTTCTAACCATCTCAAGATTTAAGAATCTAAAGTGCCTTCCAAAATCTGAGAGGGATGAGGGATAGAGCATGCTTTCAGAAGTCTTAAAAGAGCAAAACTCCGATGCGGAAACTACAGAACACAAACCACCAAAAAAGAA